AGAACCAAATATTTCCTGATAACTAAACATAAATGGTCAACTCCAGTCCATTCAATGCCACTACTGCAGCAAAATTCATGTATCTGATAATGACAATAATGCAGAGTTCATATCATGTCCATAAAATTTACTGCACATTTCATATCATTGAATCCCTAATAATGCTGTTTATGTATGTTGTAGTGTTCCTGCAGTAATTAAATGAAACCTGTACTAATAGAATTATGGAGATTGCCATTGATTTCTGATCTTTCAAAACAGGTATGAAGATCACAGGCTCTGCCTTGACTTGATGATTGGCTGTTCTGGGATATTTAAAGGATAAGTTCACCTTTTGTAAAGTTACACCCATATTCAGTGTGTAACATATATCATGTTACCAACGGACCAGCCCCCACTCCTCCCCACTCTCCATTGTGGATCTTCTCCTTCCCTGCTAATGTCACAGTTTTAAAAAAAAATTGCCGTTTCATTCATTACAGTATTCTGTGAATGAATGAACTACAAGTCTCGAATCCTTTGCAGCTGTCAGCTTGTAGTTCTCAATGAACTACAAGCTGTGCTGTAGAGTGCCATGGTAGTTTATTGAATCTTCCTCTCAGTTTATCTGCTCGCCCATACATCCTGTACGGGCACGTAAATTTACTGCCAGGTCTGCAGGAGAGGCTCCGAAAACAAAAAATAATTAATGCACACACTTTTTTTTTTTTTTACATGCAAAAAAATGTGGATTCATTATTTTTTTTAAAAAGGTGAACTTATCCTTTAAAGTAGAATTAAACCCTTTCACAAAGATTCTGTTGACCAAGCCGCATTTGTGGTGAAATGCACAGAAAGTATTTAAACCAGGGACAGCCGGTGACTGTTAGTTTACGTTTCCTTAAAACAAAAACAGTTAATAAACCTGTGAACATGAACATAGAATACAACTGACCAAAAACCTTTATACTTTTCTAAGAAAAATCAAAAGCATAAATCCTTTAGGCCTCATGCACACTGGGCGTTTGCCCAGCTCTTCTGAACGCCTTTAATCCTGGCGGGAGAAAAGAAGGGTAAAATGCACATTTTCACCAGCATACCAAGGATTATCTAATTACATACAGATCTTTATTGAAGAATGATCACATCACAGAAACATAGTGCTACGTTTCAGAGCCGCAGAGAACCCCTTCACCAGGCATGTAGGGTAAAAAAAAACAGCCAAAGCCATGTTTTGCAAACATGTTTAAGTATACCAAGCTTTTGGGTGTTCATTCATTCCATTGGCCAGAATATTAATCTATTCTGGCCGCTGAAATGAACACTCAAGCACTTCTAACGTGTTAATGTGTTTTAGGTATGTTTTCCTCTCCTGAATTTGCAAGTGATTTTTTTTCTGCCTTTTAAATGGAGGCTTGTTTACAGGCAGAAAAAAAAGTCGTCCAAAGCCCTTAGAAGCTGAGTTTTTGACACCCAGTATGCATGAGGTTTAAATGTTAAAGCTTTGGTAGCACAGTTGCCAAATTGCCTGTTTGTTTTTCCCACCCCAGATGTGATATTCTAACAACTGCCATGTGTTATCATCCTGCCTTCCACCATCTCTTTTCTGTATTTTTTAAACATTCTTCAGAAAAGAGAATTACACAAAAAAGACTTTGGTACAGTCATGAAACAGTTTTATAGTATGTGGAGAGAAAACATTTTCAACAAAAGCCATTTGGTCATGACAACATGTCTATAATTTCCTGTTAGTCTTCTGAAGATATATACATAACATAACTACATACTGTAAGTTGGTATGGCATTTCACAGGCAATGGGAGGTCACCTAACATGCACTCAAGAACGGATGTGCATGTAGAGTGAAAAAAAGAACATATGTCTACCACATTAAACTAAATACCTTAAAAAATGGAGATATTCTTACTATACACTGTAGACTTTCTTCCAATGGCACCAAGATTATACATTTATGCAAAATCCTCACATCTTGTCTGCATTAAAGTATGCAGTTTAAATATAGATGACAAAATATTGAAGTTGCAATGACCTTTACATTATTTATTGTTTCTAATATAGTAATGCTTATTTCTTTCAGTCTTGTTATTTCTTTCCAAAGAGTACTTCTTCATTACGCTAAGCACAGAAGCATTTCCAGTGACTGTCATGTTTAAAGAAATAAGTATTCCTTTTAACTCTTCCTGAACTCCACCACTGTGCAGTAGCCATGAAAGCAAAGTGAAGCAGTCTCGTGATGGTTGGTTGTTAACCAATTCAATACCGGGCAATTTTACACCTTCCTGCCTAGGCCAGTTTTCAGGTTTCAGCGCTCTCACAATTTGAATGACAATTGCACGGTCATACAACACTGTACCCAAACTAAAATTTTATCATTTTCTTCACACAACTAGAGCTTTCTTTTGGTGGTATTTAATCACCGCTGGGTTTTTTATTATTTGCTAAATTAACAAAAAAAGACCAAACATTTTGAAAAAAAAACACGTTTTTCTTTGTTTCTGTTATAAAAGTTTGCAAATAAAAAATTGTTCTTCATAAATTTAGGCCAAGATGTATTCTGCTACATGTCTTTGGTGAAAATAACCCAAATTAGGATGTATTTTTTAGTTTGTAGGAAAGTTATAGAGTTCACAAACTATGGTATAGATCTGAATATTGATCAATCCTGAAGTACTGACAGCCAATCTAATTACTTGAGGTCCAAGAATGTCAGAATAGTACAGATATCCCCCAAATGACCCCTTTTTGCAGAGTAGACAGTCCGATGTACTTCATAACAGGCATGGCGAGTTCTTTGAAGTTGTATTTTTTTTTGTCATAATTTTTCGGAAAATGAAAATATTTAAATTAGTTTCACTATTTTTTTTTACATATTGTCACCAGTGCAGTACAGCGTCATCATATAACTGGCATGGCGGTGATCAGGGACACTGACTGGTGACAGTATGGAAAAAAAATATATATATATTTTTTTTATTATTTTTTATTAAAAATTTTTTAAGATTTTTTTTTCATATTTCACTATGACCAAAGTAGTACAATGTTACCATAGTAACATTGTACTACTTTGGGGAAGTGATCAGTATTTTTTTTTTTTTTACACAATTTGCTTATAGCAAAGAATTACTTTGCTATAAGCAAGCATTTACCTGAATGACATCGATTCATTCAGGGTTTTTTTTTTTTTTTTTTTTGTGCTTAGCTGTCATGTGCATGTGATTAGCTGTGACCATTCACAGCTAGACACTAGTATACAATGGCATGATTGGTCGCAGCAGGTCACATGGTACCGGCAACGGGGGCCTATACTCAGATCTGTCATCGGCCGTGTCCAAGGTACACGGCCGGTGACAGATCGCGCCACTGCGCGGCTCTGCAGGAGCGCAATCTGCGCATGTGCGGGAGGATGCCATATGGCGTCCACCCGGAACGCTGATTACATTTGCCGGCCGCCATTCGGCCATAGGGCGGGCGGCAAATGGTTAAACACTGTAAAAGCCAGATCATATGTTCTCTTTCAACAAACATTGCATCTCCTATAAAAAAAAAAGTCTATGTTCATTGCATATTGTACTGGTACTGTACTTGTGTGGACTAAGTTCTGCCCTCTCTGCTGGAATCACAAGTACTATATAAATACTCTAAGTATTGTCCACTCCTGCAGAATTTGCAGATTTATAAATAAACTAGAAAAGCTACAATTTCTAGGGAAATTGTGTGACGTGTTCTTGCCTCCACCAGTAGTCTACAACTGGAGTGGGTGGAGTAACTGGGTGGAGTGGCTTGAGTAACTGTTGTGTGGTTGGAGTGGCTGGAGTAACTGTGAAAAGGTTTTGTCAGCTCCCACTCTAGTTTTGAACATTCCGCCATTCATTCCTATGGGACCAATTTCACCACAAAAACGCCGATATTTTGTGAACCATTTGGCGAAACGTTCCACAAAGTAATAGCACACCAATCGGGAACAATCCTCACATTTCGGTATATTACTGTCTATTTAGTGTAAAAACTGTGGGAGGAGTTAGGGTGGTAAATTTGGCTATAATATTAAGAATATATGTGAGATAACAGTAAGTGGTCTTGCCATGCAAGAACATTTAATAGGTCTAAACCCAAAAATAAAAATGTAATACATTGTACTTGATCAATTCTTAGATGTAGTGGATGCATTAGTTTCCTCTTTTTCCCTCTATATTTACTTTGTGATCCTGGCAATGACACTCTTCCTGTCTTAGAGTGACAACGCCTATGTCTTCTACACATTGGCCAAACATTGGCTGAAATTGGTTGTTTCAACAGGAACCGTCCAAATTTTGGCCCATGTGTACAGCTGTATGTTTGACAGAAGTTGGTTGTGATGCTTCTGTCCCACAGCTTCTGTAGAATGGGAATGTTGGAAAACCAGCATCTGAACCACATCCTGTCAGCACTGCCAGTACTGATCAGTGTGTTCTGGTGGGGGGGGGGTCTCTCTGTCAGATTACAGTAACACAGCGGAGCAGATCACCACACTAACCGCTGGGTTGAACAACAAAAAAAAAAACTTCAAGTGTATACCCAGCTTTACTCACTATACTGTATTTCTGCATAAGCAGCATTGTCCTCTTAGGTTGCTTTCTTGATTTTGACTACAAACACCCACTTCTGTCCTGATCTTCATTACTGTGAAGATTCAATATAATAATTTTTTTTTCTTGGGTTAAGCTATATTTAATGTCCATGGATTCCATATGGGATTCTCTCATGATTATTTCATACTTCCCTGAGAAACGACATATCCTCTTAGAAAGCTCAGTGCAACATCCGTGCCACATATTGGTTTTGAGGTAAGTACATTGGATGAAATGGGGTTCACTGCCCTAGAACTAATTTGCAGTAAAGGCTGCACTTACTAGAGGATATTAGGTTCACTTGAGCCATATATAAAGGGCTGTAGCAGAGACTCTTTAACACGGCTTACAATATGAAGTTCTAGTTATTTAATAATGTCTTCATTATTTGTAGCATTCCAATCAAGACAAAGGACTGACACAAACCAGAAGGAAGATTGACACAGAAGTAGCTGGCGTGAAAACGATGCTGGAATCGCATAAACTTGACACAATTAAATATCTTGCAGGTAAGTGGTCTTAATATGTATTGTTTCTTGACTATATGTTGCTTTATTGGTCAAAAATCTTTTTTAATCTTACTTTATGGGACAAATAATGGGTATCCAGGTACATTGGGTTATGCTGCTGAGTTCAGGAGATTGGACTCACATTGGCAAAACAATACTGTAAGGACAGCCCAATATAACCATTTCTGTTCCCAGCATGCCTCAGTTTTTTGCTAGTGTCCTGAGAGAAAGGACATTGTGACAGACAGCCTGGCACCCTGCCTGGGTGCCTCCATCAAACGTTGCCTCCTGCCCTCCAAACCTTCCATCAGAGCAATAGCTAATACCAGCCTTTTACCCCAAGCATCATATCAACAAGATGTTGAGGTAAAAACCAAACGATAACTTTATTAAACAGAAATACAGGGTTTTATACACTTCAGAAATAGAGGGGGTTACCACATGAACAACAAAAACAAATATTACACAATGGGGTAAACATCCCACAATGGCTGGGTAACAAGGTAAAGTTGATACAAGACTAAACACATCCTGTAGGACTCTGCAGGAGGATTAGCAAACAGACAGAGTTGGTTACTCAACAATGGGAATTCACACCTAGAAGGCGCACAATAGGGAAATTACACAATGGGAGAAAGACACATCACACTGAGGCAGGATAGGCAAACATGGGTGCACATTATAACAGTAAACGCATAACATTAATAAACAGATTATACATAACAGCAGGAGACCCCAGCATCAGGTTGTTTTGAGCTGATTATAATATTCTACTTTGATTATCTAGAGTCTAGGGGATTGAAGCAATCAATGCTGGTTTAAGCTGCTGATTCTATACTCCAACAAAACACAGAGGCCCCAAATCTGTATCTGGGTCCATCAGTTCTCAGTGTTTGTGTTTCAGGGAGACATGGACTTAAATCCGAAGTAAAACTACTTCAAAGGTCCCCCAGGCACCTTTTAAAAAATACAGCCCCCTGAAACATCAGGACCCATAGTATGCAAGAGGCTAGCCTGCAGTCCCCTCCAAAAGCCCCTGCCCCGCTGGGTCTGTCGCCAATATCTTCTCTCTACTCTGAGAAAGGCAAACGATTTTCTTTTTATCAAGGTTTCATTTTTATATTCTAGAAGGTTTCTACAATTGTTGGCAAGCACGAAGGTGCTTTTTTTTGTAGCTTTTGGATTGACTATTGCCATGAAAGCTGCATCCAAACCCAACTGGGAAGAAGCAAGGCCAGCTTGTAATGTGTCCTTAGGGCACTGGTCTCTGTGTTCGGCATTAGCCTACATGTAACAGATTGAGTTAGCCACAGAGAACTCCATAGGTTCAGTGTTGTGGTGCACTTGTCTGGTGGAACCCTGTCACTAAAGACTCCTTAGTTAGTATGTCCAATGGAAGGGTGAAGTCTATCAGGATAGGGCAGGGGTCTGCAACCTTTAAGACATAAAGAGCCACTTGGACCCGTTTCCGAAGGGAAAAAAAAGACTGGGAGCCGCAAAACCATTGCAACATTTATAACAAATCCGACACTGCATATATTGCAAAAAGCACTCTGGTCATGAAGGGGGTTTAAGGGCCCAGTAAGCAAAGGGTTAATCAGGGCCACAGTGTATCTTCATAATCACAATCATAGCCTTAGGTCAGTGGTGGGCAACGATTTTTTTTTCAACTGAGCCAAATCTCGCCAAAACCACGATTGAAATTTATTTTGACAGCCACATTTTTAAAACTGAAAATACATCCCCCATATAGTAATTCATCCCCCATAGTAATTCATCCCCCATATAGTAATTCATCCCCCATAGTAATTCATCCCCCATATAGTAATTCATCCCCCATATAGTAATTCATCATCCCCATAGTAAGTCAACCCCCACAATTCATCCCCCATAGTAATTCATCCCCCCATAGTAATTCATCCCCCATATAGTAATTCTTCCCCCATAGTAATTCATCCCCCCATATAGTAATTCAGTAAGAATTCATCCCCCATATTAATTCATCCCCCATATAGTGCTAATTAATCCCCCTCATCCCCCCATAGTAATCATACCCCCATATAGTAATTTCATCCCCCATATAGTAAATTCATCCCCCATATAGTAATTCATCCCCCCATTGTATCATCCCCCATAGTAATTCATCCCCCATATAGTAATTCATCCCCCCATAGTAATTCTTCCCCCATAGTAATTCATCCCCCATATAGTAATTCTTCCCCCATAGTAATTCATCCCCCCTTCCCCCATAGTAATTCATCCCCCATATAGTAATTCTTCCCCCATAGTAATTCATCCCCCATATAGTAATTCTTCCCCCATAGTAATTCATCCCCCATATAGTAATTCATCCCCCATATAGTAATTCATCCCCCATTTAGTAATTCATCCCCCATAGGTAATTCATCCCCCATAGTAATTCATCCCCCATATAGTAATTCATCCCCCATAGTAATTCATCCCCCATATAGTAATTCATCCCCCATATAGTAATTCTTCCCCCATAGTAATTCATCCCCCCATATAGTAATTCTTCCCCCATAGTAATTCATCCCCCCTATAGTAATTCATCCCCCATATGTAATTCTTCCCCCATAGTAATTCATCCCCCATATAGTAATTCATCCCCCCATAGTAGAATTCATCCCCATATAGTAATTCATCCCCCATAGTAATTCATCCCCCCATAGTAATTCATCCCCCATATAGTTAATTCATCCCCCATATAGTAATTCATCCCCATATAGTAATTTCATCCCCCATAGTAATTCCCATCATCCCCCATATAGTAATTCATCCCCCATATAGTAATTCTTCCCCCCATAGTAATTCCCCCCATAGTATTCTCATCCCATATAGTAATTCATCCCCCAATAGTAATAGTAATTCATCCCCCATATAGTAATTCATCCCCCATATAGTAATTCTTCCCCCATAGTAATTCATCCCCCATATCATGTAAATTCATCCCCCATATAGTAATTCTTAATAGTAATTCATCCCCCCATAGTAATTCATCCCCCATAGTAGTAATTCATCCCCCCATAGTAATTCATCCCCCATATAGTAATTCATCCCCCATAGTAATTCATCCCCCATAGTAATTCATCCCCCATAGTAATTCTCCCCCATAGTTAATTCATCCCCCATAGTAATTCATCATCATCCCCCATATAGTAATTCATCCCCCATATAATTAATTCCCCCATAGTAATTCATCCCCCTATAGTAATTCATCCCCCATAGTAATTCAACCCCCACATAGTAATTCATCCCCCATAGTTAGTAATTCATCCCCCACATAGTAATTCATCCCCCACATAGTAATTCCCCCACACAGTAATTCATCCCCCCACATAGTAATTCATCCCCCATATTGTCTCAATTCACTTACCTTTGCTCCGCGCGTTCCTCTCTCTGTGTTCCCGCGCCGTTCTGGTCTTCAGGGCGGACTGAGAGAAGAGAGGAGTTCATCACTCTGCCCCGCCTAATCCTGGCTGCCCCACCTACATCCTGACAGCCAATGTTCCACGCTCCGCGGGCCGGATTTTTGAGGAGGGAGGGGAGCGGGCGCCCGGCACACAGAAGAGCCGCATGTGGCTCGCGATCTGCGGCTTGCCGACCACCTGGTGGGCAGTGTGCTCCGGAGCCGCAGCAAAGATGAAAAAGAGCCGCATGCGGCTCTGGAGCCGCGGGTTGCCGACACCCGGGATAGGGCATGTCTCCTAGATCTTGCCTCCTGTCCTCCAGCATTTCTCAGTGGTACCACAGGTCAGTTGCTGGATTTCAATTGCTGTGAGTCAGATCATTTTACTTTGTTTTCTGAAGAATCACACCACTTGGAGTACCTGGGTATCTGTGCAAAAAATGTCTTGCGTTTGCCCTTTGATGGGGATAACTTTTTTGGCAAATCCCTGGAAAATTACACATTATGGTCACGGGGGGGAGGTTTTAGGGGGGGAAGAGTACTCTTTTACCCCTGAAAAAGAACACAAAATCTCCACCTGGGAAATCCTATACTCCTGAGATTCAAAAAAAGTTCCTTTCTCTTAGGCTTCAAGGTCCAAGGCAGAACCTTGAACCCAGTTCAAGGCCGCAGCGCCTGGATCTCCAACTTATTAGTCAGCTGCAGCTGCTGATGAGTGTATTCTAGCAGTGGTGGGTGCCACTGTTAGAATACAATATCCCATGAAGGAGGTCCTCCATCCACCTTGTTTGTATGGATGGAGGAATCTGTTTTTCTTATTTCAACCAGTTGGCTGCACTCCAAAAAAAAAAAAAAAACTAACTATGTATGTCCACCTTAAGTCTTCAGAAATTAGCTCTGGTCTCATCACTTGGAGTACCTGGGCCTGATCTTAGACAGAGTCCTGTCCAAGGTTTTCTTTCCCCAGGACAAACTCACATATCTCTGCTTCCTGATTCTGAAGTCCAGGAGGCACCCAACCCTCCGTTTTGGCTTGAAGGTCATGGGTCTGATGATGTCTTCTTTCAAGATAGGTCCATATGCCCAATTTCACCTCAGACTGTTGCAACTCAACATTATGGCAGTGCTGGACAAGAGGGTGCTCTCTGGATTGTTCTGTGTGCTGGACCAGCAGGATCAGGCTTGCCCTTGCATGGTGGGTCACAAGTATGGCACTACAATTGGGAAAATCCTTCCTCCCAGTGGGTTAGAAGGTGCACACAACAGATGCTAGCTCAACGGGCTAGGTAGGAGTCCTAAGTACCCTCTTACTACAAGGGACTTGGTCGTAAGAAGAAGTTTGGCTCCTTATCAGGATATTTGGGTTGGTATGAATAAGAGTAGCTAGAGGTTCCATGACTAGAGAAAAAGACCTGGGGACAGGGGACATCCCTGTCTTGTACTCCTGTGTAGGAAAAAGGGAGTCAAGAGGGTATTGCTGGCAAAGATTCCGGCTGTAGGGGCCGAATAGAGAAGCCTAATCCACTGGATGAATTTAAGTCCAAAACCAAATTTAGGTAAGGTTGCCACTCTATGGAGTCAAATGCCTTTTCAGCATCCAAAGAGGCAACAACCCTAGTTCCAATATTGTCATGTTGACCTGAGAGATGAGTAAACTTTGATCAACGAAGATTATTATTTGCTCCTTTTCCCAAAATGAACCTATGTACCAAGGTGGTAATAACTGATCTCAATGTACCAGTCGGTACCTTTGCCAAGATTTTGGCATCAACATTAAAAAGTGAGATTTGACAGTAGGAGGAATACTTATTGGGGTCTTTTCCTGGTTTATGAATTATCAGTATATTAGCGTCCATCATAGAAGGGGGGGGAGCCCCGATTTGGAAAGCATGTGTGAATATTGCCTATAGCTGGGGAACAAGAATTTCAACATAATGCATGTAGTACTCTGCTGGGAGTCCATCTGCTCCTGGAGTTTTATAAGACTGGATAGACTTAATGGCATGGGCCAACTCTGGGTGATACCTGTCTCTAGCTCAGAGCATTGTGCAGGAGACAGAGTAGACAGGGAAATGTTATGTAAGTAAGGCATCTAGGTCTTTTGGCTTGTATATTACTGTAGAGGTATAGAAGTTGCAAAAAAAGAAGTCTAATTGGTTTGTTATATGCCTACGGCATATTGTCCTGCATTTAAACATCTTAAGGGGATTTGCCGTCTTTGTCTGAAAGTGTTGCATGCCATTTAATTTCATTTCTTATCTACAACTCCCTTTCACCAGACTCTTTGTTTATCATTCCTGAAGGTCCCCATAGGTGACGGTTGCTTCTTTTCCCCATAGGTAATATCCTACTTCTCGTTCTACTATTGCCAGGTAGATTCCACCACTCATCATTCAAACTTTTGACCTCAATGGCAAGATTGCCTGCTAAAAAGCACTCCACTAGATCAGTTAAAGTGGTTTCAAACCTCGGGCATGAAAAAAGGAACAAAGCATGTCCCTTTATAATGTGTACTTGTCTCAATTAAGAGCACAATGTGTCATTTCTGTCTTCTGCCTTGTTCCTCTGCTATTAGCATGAATCATTTCTGACAAGCTTTCCGGACCCCAAGACAAAAAAGGTGACAGGAGAGTTGGCTCCAGCTGATTGACAGCCTCAGCTCTGTTCCTGGGTGCTGTGTGGAACGGGTTTTTCCCTTCCCTTCAATCAGTTCTCAGAGCTCTCGTCACCGAGCTCTGCAAAGTGTAATTTCAGCTGTCCATCCCCTTTTTTTCTGTACTCTGACAAGCTTTATAAATTCTGGTTCCTCCCCTCTGTTCTTATGATCCATTACTTCTATTGCTTGCTAACAAAACTGAGGCATGACGGGAGTCTAAGGGGTTATACCAGGCTGTCCTTGAAGCTTTGTTTTGCCATTGTTTGATCTCCTGAAGGCAGCAGAATATCTTTTTGCACCTTAATACTCATTCTGTGTCCTGTAATGTAATCCAAGAAAACAAAAATTCATGTCAAAACGGAGTTCCAGCTGTTTTTGTGTTTATTAAAAGTCAGCAGCTACAAAAACTGTAGATGTTCTCACCTGCACTGTCCCTTCTCCACTTCTATCCTTCAGTTCGCTGCACGGCAGACTGAGCCAGAAGTGGGAGCCGGTACCTGTCAAAACCAGGTATCCACTCCCCTTCCTAAAGGTGCCAAATATGGCAGTGGAGGGGAGGAGGAGGCAAATAAGCGGAGCTTCCGCTTTTGAGTGGAACTCCGCTTTAAGTAGAAAATAATTTTTTTTTTTTTTTTTTAGTGCTTACACGTGCGGGTATATCCATTTTTATTTGGAGGAAAATACCTTTTCTGTAACTTATTTTTTCATGTAGAATTTAGATTTACTTACACACATTTATTAATATAAACACGCAAAACAAGATGTTGATATTTTTCCTTTGAAAAAGCTATTTACATAATGGATAGAAAGGAAATGTGAGATCCCTTCAGCTGGGCAAAGGTTTAAATCTCAGCCAGTTCAGCGGGGACTGGAATTTCATCCAGGTATGGGCAGGCTGATTGTACCCAAGTCTATCCATTGATCAGCTTGGGTACAATAAGCATGTTGGATGTCTAGCATGTGATTGTTGCCAACGGCTATGGCCGCTAGCAATAATCACTGTTTTCTCCCAGGAGGGACTGCTCCTCACACCACACCCGCTGCTGGGGAAAAACAATAGCACTTCCAGAGGGATTCCCCTATCAACCCATGGGAAAGCCCAGGAAAGACATTTTGCCTCATCTATGGCCTGCCTTAGGATAGAGCAAGTTTGGTTTTTTAGCGGTGTCAGTGCACGTATTAACGCATGAGCTATGGAGTGAAAGAGCTCTTACACTACCTCTGTTTTATATCCGTGATAATTATAAAAATATCTACAGGTTTAATGAGTCAGTACAAAGTCTGATGATGATCAGTAACTTATCGAAACCAACAAAATGTAGGTTTAGTGATGTTTTATCATGTAAAGATGGTTGTTGACTGGTTGGCATGGGTTACTGCACTGTGTACATTGCTCATCACTGTCTGTGTGTACATTACACTGTGTTGTGAGTCAATTTATGACTTTAAACTTGTGCTTTCTTCCCAACAGGTTCTGTATTCACATGCCTCACAATAGCTCTTGGATTTTACCGTTTGTGGATGTAACACTTGCCAATCTGTTTAATTTCATACATCCTAATCCACTGTGTTATTTTTTAAAACAAATGATATACGATGGATTCAGAGGCAAGCATGTATTTGTTTTATAAAGGAGCTGCATAACCAAAGAGTGAGAAATAACCACATACTTAATGTCACAACAAGATATTACATTTTGTTAAGTGAATGATTTTCCGTCCGTTCAATAAAAAAAAAAGCGTTATACCAACAAATGTTTTATTTCCAAAAAAAAAGAAACCCTGTCAAAATATTTTTTAAGCATAAATGTGTGTTTCTGTTCTTTTCAGTCATAGAATGTACACTAACTACATACTGTGAAGATGCTATAAAGAACTTGAAGCTCCTCCTAATACTAGTTTCCTTTTTTTTTCCTTAACCCCTTTTGTACCAGGGTACATTTTTAATCAGTGGATTTGCAGCCTGTTAGTTACCCAGCACTCTTTATAAATGGTGTTGGATAAATAACCATTGGGCGGACGTTTTGCTCGCTCATTTCTGAGTACTGAGCAATCATTGGATAGCTTTGAGATTGCGGTAATTGGTCATCATAGCAGTCACATGCTATTGTTACAATGGATGATCTCTCTACTTCATTTTACAATAGAAGAAGAGTGTGAATAGGGAAATTAATTGATCAGTAGCAACAGCTGCAGATCCATTTATTCAGTTTCAATGTCATTGGGATAGTTATTTAAAGTGGAACTATACTCACCTTCTATCCTGAGATGCGACGTCCCATAGCTCCCCAGTGGCCACTGACCTCTTCATGTGGCTGGAAAAGGGTTATGTCACTCCTATATGCATGGGAGTGCCGTCAGCTTCAGCATTGCTGAATGTGTGTGAGTTGCACGTCTTCCGCTTACAGTATAGGGGCATACAGGCAGTAAAGTAACTTTAATGCAGAAGAGACAAAGCATATCTCTTCTGCTTTAAAAATCCTCCCTGCATGTGTGTGTGTATATATACTTTTATTTATTATATATATATATATATATATATATATATATATACATATACAGTGGGGCAAAAAAGTAGTTAGTTAGCCACCAATTGTGCAAGTTCTCCCACTTAAAAAGATGAGAGAGACCTTTAATTGGCATCATAGGTAGACCTTAACTATGAGAGACAAAATGAGAAAAAAATCCAGACAATCACATTGGCTGATTTTGAAAAAAATTTTTTGCAAATTATGGTGGAAAATAAGTATTTGGTCAATATCAAAAGTTCATCTCAATACTTTGTTATATATCCTTTGTTGGCAATGACAGAGGTCAGACGTTTCCTGTAAGTCTTCACAAGGTTGGCACACACTGTTGCTGGTATGTTGGCCCATTCCTCCATGCAGATCTCCTCTAGAGCAGTGATGTTTTGGGGCTGTCGCTGGGCAACACGGACTTTCAACTCCCTCCAAAGGTTTTCTATGGGGTTGAGATCTGGAGACTGGCTAGGCTACTCCAGGACCTTGAAATGCTTCTTACGAAGCCACTCCTTCGTTGCCCGGGCGGTATGTTTGGGATCATTGTCATGTTGGAAGACCCAGCCACGTTTCATCTTCAATGCCCTTGCTGATAGAAGGAGGTTTGCACTCAAAATCTCACGATACATGGCCCCATTCATTCTGTCCTGTACATGGATCAGTCGTCTTTGTCCCTTTGCGGAGAAACAGCCCCAAAGCATGATGTTGCCACCCCCATGCTTCACAGTAGGTATGGTGTTCTTTGGATGCAACTCAGCATTCTATCTCCTCCAAACATGACGAGTTGTGTTTCTACCAAACAGTTCTATTTTGGTTTCATCTGACCATATGACATTCTCCCAGTCCTCTTCTGGATCATCCAAATGCTCTCTAGCAAACTTCAGACGGGCCCGGACATGTACTGGCTTAAGCAGGGGGACACGTCTGGCACTACAGGATCTGAGTCCCTGGCGGCGTAGCGTGTTACTGATGGTAGCCTTTGTTACGTTGGTCCCAGCTCTCTGCAGGTCATTCACTAGGTCCCCCCCGTGTGGTCCTGGGATATTTGCTCACCGTTCTTGTGATCATTTTGACCCCACGGGGTGAGATCTTGCATGGAGCCCCAGATCAAGGGAGATTATCAGTGGTCTTGTATGTCTTCCATTTTCTAATTATTGCTCCCACAGTTGAATTGTTCACACCAAGCTGCTTGCCTATTGCAGATTCAGTCTTCCCAGCCTGGTGCAGGTCTACAATTTTGTTTCTGGTGTCTTTTGACAGCTCTTTGGTCTTCACCATAGTGGAGTTTGGAGTGTGACTGTTTGAGGTTGTGGACAGGTGTCTTTTATACTGATAACCAGTTCAAACAGGTGCCATTGATACAGGTAATGAGTGCAGGACAGAGGAGCCTCTTAAATATGAAGGTACAGGTCTGTGAGAGCCAGAAATCTTGCTTGTTTGTAGGTGACCAAATACTTATTTTCCACCATAATTTGCAAATAAATTCTTTCCAAATCAGCCAATGTGATTGTCTGGATTTTTTTTCTCATTCTGTCTCTCATAGTTGAGGTCTACCTATGATGCCAATTACAGGCCTCTCTCATCTTTTTAAGTGGGAGAACTTGCACAATTGGTGGCTGACTTTTTTACTTTTTTGCCCCACTGTATATTGTTCAGTATAATTGAGTACACCCCAACAGATTTGTCAGAAAATCTTTACTTTCCTTTCAGAATCAACATTTTCTATGGGACACTATACTACAAAATACTCCCATTGATTGAAAACAAGATTTGTTAATTTGCACACACAAAAAAATATTTTTCCTAACAAATTCATTCAAGACCATGTTGCAATAATGAATACACCCCCAATGAAAGTCTTATGCAGGCCGTTACGTGGGGAAAATCGGCCGTTTGTTTTTAAATTGAACTGGTCGTTGGTCGTTCAGACGGCCGACGTTGCCACTAATTAAAAAAAAAAGTCGGCGGGACGTCAATTAATATAATAGCGGTGTCCCTGCATAGACCCGCTATTATATTTGACAGAAGAAATAGATTATGCAGAAGAAGAAGAGAAACAACATTGTATCTATTTGTGCTTGAATAGAAACATCTGTATCCGAAATGCATACAAATAGATACAATGTTGCAACTTTTTTTCTTCTCCATCTTCTTCTGCAAAATCTATTTCATCGTCTCCTCTTTTCTTCTATTCTTCTTCTTGATATTCTATTTCATATTCTCCTGCAAAATCTGCTTCTTCTATTACTTCTTTTTCTTCATAGTCAATTTATTGTCAAATCGGCCAGAAGAACGGCTGTTTTGACCATAAATTACCGCGAAAATCGGCCGATCTAACAAATCGTCCCAGGATTTTCCAGCATGGCCGATTTTCAAAATCTCTTTTTTATTTGCTGTTTTATAACAAAGTGTAGTATAGTTTTTTTTCCCAATGTTTGGTCCCTCTTCCTTTTATATAGAAAAAAAAAATGAAAAACCACCAAAAAGAAAGCTCAATGTGTCCCAAAAACATTTTTTAAAAATTATTTGGGTACAGCGTTGTATGAATGAGTAATTGTCAGTCAAACTAAAAAATGTCCTGGAAATGAATTGGTATTACAGACTGGTACACATGTGGTTAAGCAAGGATGCATTATCTATCAAAAACAGGAAAAACTGGGAACAGTGTTATTAGTTTGAGAAGTCATTACAATCATAAAGTTAAATATGTACTCCAGCTCATGGGCCTTGACTGAACTTTTTAATCTTGGTTCATAAACTTGTCTGAAGATTGTCATGTTCAGTAGGCATATATGAAGTACCTGCAAAGGTCATTGCTTTACTCACTCAAAGCAAACTTAAATAGGAAGCTCAACCTGTACATGTTGAGTCAGAACTGTGAAGAAGTCCTAGTACATTTCTAAATGAGTCCCCCTTTTTAATGCTATCCGTGTTTCTGTTTGCTATCAGCCTTTGAAGCTACCATCTGTTTCCAGCGATATCAAGCGTTCCATGGTGTCACTGGATGGCTTGGAAGGTCTAGAGCAGGAGTCTCCAAACTATAGCCCTCCAGGTGTTGAGGAACTGCAAGTCCCATGAGGTCTTGCAAGACTGACAGCCACAGGCAAGACTTAGAGAGGCAGAGGCATGATGGGACTTGTAGTACTTCAACAGCTGGAAGGTCATAGTTTATAGACCCTTGGTCTAGAGTCTGCCTTACATGGTGTTTCTGTTCAGGTCTGCTTGAAAGGCTGAAATGAAGACCCGATCAGAAAGCACATGTGAAAGGGCTCCTAATGTTGATGAAAACAAAATGCATTGGCAATAATCATACAGGCAAAAGTCACTTCTTTGCTAGCATTGCCTATAGGCATATGTCCAATGGTAAATTGGCTTGGATTACAAGCAATTTTATAGGTGGAGCCAAACGAGCTTGGGAATATATTCGTTCCGGGGTACCACTTACAGGCCTCATGCCCTTACTGTGCATCAGCGCGATGGAGCTAAATAGCTGTATCCATCAGCCCCGATACATTATCCATGCCTAACACTTCACCCCAAATTCTTCCCAGCAGAACCACGTACTAGTTCCTAGGATAGACCCTTAGTAATAAGAAGAGACAAGTCCAATCAATTTTCAGAGCTTTATTTGCATAGCTTCAAGGTACGCAATTCCAAGGTATACAGCTTCTCACCAATATGGCAACGGCCATCAGCACTTTCCCAGACTGGGTCATCTTTGTCCTGTCTCCTTACTCCATTCTATCCAAGACACCAAGGTCTTTCCACGTATTCCGCAGCCGGGGAATATCAATCAGTGGGAGCACTACATGTGGGCAGATTGGACCCCATCAAGTCCCACGGGGTCCAGCTATGGAGCCTAGATCCTCACCAGTTCTCCACCTGAACTCCACCCACCTTTTGATTTGCTCAAATGAAGGGAATGCGACACTTAGTGGCCAAACAGGGAATTGTACTAACACCTTCTTACAAATTTAGTAGCAGAAACTGCAAAATAAACAAAAGTGTA